GCGCAGCAGACTCCTCATGCCCAGAAAATACCTGCATGCAAAGAAACACTTGCCAGTTGGATAAAAATTTCCTGAGGTGTGTAAAGGAATGTGATGGATTGTTTGTGAAATACCCCCAGAGTCTTGGGCATTTGAACAATTTGTCCCCAGTTGATGGTTGTGCAGGTGCTGGCTAGTTTTAGGTCAAGTTGAGATAAACCAGAGTTATTTGGCAAAAAAGAACTTCAGTTGAGAAAATGCCTTCACCAAATTGGCTTGTGGTCCATGTTCTTGGTTGTTGATTGATGTGGGAGGGCCCAGTTTGATGGGGGGTGGTGTCACCCTTTGGATGGTGGTCCTGGGTGCTACAAGAAAACAGGCTGAGCAAGTCCAGAGGAGCAAAGCAGTACCTCTCTGTGGCTTCCACATCAATTCCTGCCATGAATGATGGGTTATAAGCTGTGATATTAAATAAACTTTTCTTCTTCAAGTTGCTTTTGGTCATGGTGTTTAACCACAAAGATAGAAATCCTAAAACAGCCGGGCAGTGGTGGCGCACGCCTTTAATCTCAGTACTTGGGAGGCAGAAGCAGGCAGATTCTGAGTTCGAGGCCAGCCTGGTCTACAGAGTGAGTTCCAGGACAGCCAGGGCTACACAGAGAAACCCTGTCTCGGAAAACAAAACAAAACAAAACAAATCAAAACAAAACAAAAATCCTAAAACATTGGTGCTGATGGTGAGGTTTAAGTGATGCACTGTTGATGGCCAGATCCAAAGAGTCTTTTTCTGAGGCTCTGATGTACGGAGAATGAACATGCTTGGCAGACCCAGTAATGACCCGGAGCCAGGGCTTTTGGGTGGAGATCTGTAGCTTCAGTCCCTAAGAACTCAATTCTTCCCACGTGTGGGGCTATCGGTTATCAGTCCAAGGTCACCGTGTACTCTGTCTGGAATGTTCTTGAGATACCCTATGTTCACCTTGTGCAACACTGTTTGATTACCTTCCTGTGGACTTCATCCCTTCCTAGGACAGTTTCTGCTGACTTAGTCTCATTTCTTCTCTGGAAACAGTATATGAGATGCTGTACTTGCTTGTCCTAAGACATAGCTTGTATGAGACCTCCCGACCCCAGATTTTCTATCTTCTCATCTAATGGCCATCTCTCACTTAGGCCTATGTCACTGAAGAATGACTTTCTGGCCCAAGTCAGTGCAGTCATACTTGGATGAAGTATATCACTGGGGTTGGAGTTTAAGAATAAAATGACTTGCCTACTTATAGTTTGCTCTGTCTCGTGTGTGGCAGCTGAGGTAGCGGCCAGCTGTGATACTGCTATATTGCCCCTACCATTATGGACTTCGACTCTTTGGATCCATTGTAAGTCACCTTCAGGTAACAGGAAAGTAATACATGGAGGAAGCATGGATAAGTCATGATGGCTCATTACTGTAATCCAAGCATTTGCTAAGCTGAGATAGGAGATGCAGCATGAGTTCAAGGCCAGCCTGGACTACATAATGAGTTCCAAGCCAGCCTGGCTATAGAGTGAAACTGTTTCACAGAAAACCAAAGTGTGTGTGTGCGGGGGAGGGAGAGAAAGAGAGGATGATGGTGGTAAAGACAACATTAAGGGTCTTCTTCATGGTCTCTGCCAGAATCCAGAAACAACAGACATTTCGGCCATTGTTTCTGGGGTGGGGATACCCCTCATCTGATGGGTCCACTCAGCCCAGAAGAGTCCTATACTCTTCAAGGTTATCTTTCCTACATACACAGGCTCTCATGGTCACGATTCAAAAACCTCTCAGGTTTCTCTTCTTCTTAAAGCCTAGATGCAATCTGCTTGTCTAACAATGTAACACCCTACATCTTTGGCTTTTAAAATTCTTCATTTATTGCAAAGAAGCCATTTTTTTCTGAGTGTGTGTCTTTACACAACCTACTTAAACATAGCCAGGAGCAATCCCCATGTGATGCTTGCATTCTACTTCAGAGCCTTCTCCTTGGAGGCCATACCATCTGTAGGTTGTGTTCTACTTCCCAGCTAGCTGAAGCTATCAGCTTACATAGCTGCTAGGCCACTTAATGTTAGCTCTGTAGCAATAGAGGCTGTTTGCTCAGCTCACTCAGATTTATACAGATTCATTTGGAATGCTGGGAATTTAAACATAAGCCCCTCTAAGTAAAACAAATGAACCCTTTTCAACTAAAAAAGAAAACAATCAAGTTGGGTGACATCTGAGGAACAACAGCTGGGGCTGGCACCTGGCTTTCATATGCTTGAGCACATATGTGAACCTGCACACATGTGAACAAACATACATAACACACACCCCAATAAAAAGTATGGTGTGGCAGGGCTGCAGAGGTGACTCAGTGGTCAAGAGCATTTGTTACTCTTCCAGAGGACCCAAGTTTTGTTTCTAGTACCCTTGTTAGGCAGCGTCTGCCTGTTAACTCCAGCTCTGGAGATCCAACGCCACCTCCTGGCTTCTATGGGCATTACATTCATATGCACAAACACACATAGAATTAAAGTAAAAATATACTGTGTTAAATGTATAAACATATATCATGGTCATTTATCAGATTGCCTGTAGACTGTTCTGAAGGGCATTTTCTTGATTAGTGATTAATGTGGGAGGGCCCAGCCCATTTTGGGTGATGTCACTCTTGGGAAAGTGTCCTAAGAGGTCTAAGAAAGCAGGCTGGGCAAGCCATGTATGTAAGCCTGGTTGTCCCCGGCCTCTACTTCAGTTCCTGCCCTGACTCTCCTCAGTCCTTGGTGTCCTATCAAGTGTTCTACTGATATGATGACAGCTTCAGGACAGAAGTGCATTTTAGCCATGAACTGTGGCTTCTTTTTCTCAGCTCTAATAATTTCTTTGAGGCACTGCAGGGTCTCATGTATCCCAGGATACCTCCTGCTTAGCTAGGATACAGCCAGTGGTATATGGCGCTGGAGATGGAACCCAGGGACTTGTGTATGCTAGGCAAGTGCTCTACCAACTGAGCTACATCCTCAGCCCCTCACCTCTAATACTAAGTAGTTCCCTTCTTCTCCCTAATAGGCATTTACCTCTGAGCCTGTGTTATTGCTATTCATCTTTGTTAAAGAAGAAAAATAATGCTACCTTTAAATCAGGACCATTATAATCACTACAATGACCAGCAACCCTGAATATATTGTACTTAAAGTACAATACAGTTAGAGTACAGTTAGAGTTGGGCAGGGTGGTATGCCTTTAATCCCAGCACTTCAGGGAGGCAGAGGCAAGATCTCTTGAGTTCAAGGCCAATCTGGTCTACATAGTGAGTTCTAGGACAGCCAGGCCCATGTAGAGACCCTGTCTCAAAAAAAAAAAAAAAAAAAGAAAGAAAGAAAAAAAAGAAAAGAAAAAGAATAGAGCTAGCGGTGGCTAATAATTCAGCATTTTATCAGTAATTTACCCTTAGCAACTTTTTCTTTGTTTTTTGTTTTTTTTTGTTGTTGTTGTTGTTTTTCAAGACAGGGTTTCTCTGTGTAGCCATGGCTGTCCTGGAACTCACTCTGTAGACCAGGCTAGCCTCGAACTCTCGAACTCAGAGATCCGCCTGCCTCTGCCTCCCAAGTGCTGGGATTAAAGGCATGCGCCACCACTGCCCGGCTACCCTTAGCAACTTTTAAGAGGTAATATAAGAAGGAGGCTTTGAGCCGGGCGGCGGTGGCCCACGCCTTTAATCCCAGCACTTGGGAGGCAGTGGCAGGCGGATTTCTGAGTTCGAGAGTTCGAGGCTAGCCTGGTCTACAGAGTGAGTTCCAGGACAGTCAGGGCTACACAGAGAAACCCTGTCTCGGAAAAACCAAAAAAAAAAAAAAAAAAAAAAGAAGGAGGGTTTGCTTAGAACCTAAGAGTGTTCTTACTGTAGACAAGTCAGAATGTCAGCTATCACCTGGGGATGGCATAAGCTATCAAAGGTGGAAGGATCTAACTGGATTGTACAAGAACTACACAGGTGTGCCTAGGAGAACGACCAGTAGTCAGATTAGTTTGGCTAAGTAAAGATTCGTTGTCACAAGATGCCGAAAAAACACACTAGAAAAAAACAAAACAAAGCAAAACAAACCCCAAAACACTTCTTTAACAAACGGTGGCGGGGAAACTGGATGGCCATATGTAGAAAAATGAAACTAGATCCTAATTTCTCTGGCCTTGCACAAAAATCAACTCCAAACGGTTTAAAGACCTTAATGTCAGACTTGAAATTCTGAAACCAAAATAGGCAAGAACTTTCTGAGTAGAGCCTAGGTTGCTCAGGCTATAATACGAACAACAGACAAATGAAATAGGATCACGTGAAGTTAAAAGGCCGTGCACAACAAAGAAAAGTTAATCAAATGAAGAAGCAGACAGATGAGAGAAAATCTTTGCCAGCTATACACCTGAGGTTATCTAGAAATACAAATTTAAAAAAATCTGAACGTGAAAATAAAACCCAATCAATAAATTAGCGTGCCTTTCATCACCCTGCCTTCTTTCCGTTACTGTTTTCGGCCTTGGTAAGGAGTGATTATTCATCCACTCAGGGGAGTCAGAAAAATCTTGACTTAATCACTCTCCCATCTACAAGCCGCTATGAGTTACATGGAGTGTTTTCTCGTGGACTGCCCTGCACCGTGGGGAAAATTCGCCGCTAGACTCCCCGCCCCACTTCTGCACGTTCTGGACTTCTGCTGATCGGTCCCTCGGCCTGCAGCCCCTGGCCATGAACGATAAATTCCGCCCGGCCGAAATTGCTGCGAATCCAACCCATAGCATCCAAAGCATCTTGGGAAAGAGTGAACAAGGAACGCCCTCTTCCGACTGCTCCACTTCCCAGGGCCGGTCTCGATGACGTCACTTCCTCCGGAAGAGGTATTGCTTCCGCTCGGTTGGCGCGAAAGTCGGTTCCCCGTCTTGGCCCTTCCGGGTTCTGCAGCGTTAGCTTCGGGTTGGGGGCGCCGCCGAGGGCGGGGGCTGCGCGCCGGGCTGGCGCCCGACCCCAGCCGCCGTCCTGCTGGCCGCGCGCCCCCCGACTTGGTGCCCGTGGGCCCTCGGGCTCCACCTAGGTGAGCGAGCGCCAGCTCCTCCTGGCTGGCGTGGCCGCCCGGCGCCTCTTGCGGCCTTCACGGCTCTACTAACCGGCGGGTGGGCCTCAGATACCCTGGGAGCCTTGGCCTGGACGTTCCTTTCCCTGGGAGCTGGGGCAGTCGCATGGGCCTTTCGGACGAGCGTGCACGACCTTGCACAGTGGCTGCTTGCGTTCAAAGTCCGTTAACTTAGGAGCAAATCTTGCGGGCTGTGGCTACCAGCAGCCGCAGCCGCGCTCAGCGTTGTCTTTAAGGCCTGTGCAAGTGAATGTCCATTGATTGAGGACCAAACCAAGGGACTCAGGGTATTCAATCAGGAACGTTAATTTTGTTCTCAACATTTGCAAGGATTCGTGTCCTTGCCTTTTTTTCTCCTTCGGCTTTGCCCACCTTCTGGGGTCTTTGTAAACATCTTGAGTGAATTGTTGAACTAAGCCAGATGTCTATTTCTTGGGTACTCTTGTCTGCATAAGAAAATAGTTGATTTGCAGGCCGGACGGTAGTGGAGCACCCCTTTCGGCCCAGCACGAGAAAGGCAGAGGCCGGCGGATCTCTTGAGTTCCAGGCTGACCTAGTCTACAGAGCGAATTCCAGGACAGCCGTGGCTTGTCGAAAAAAAGAAAAAAGCCCACAAAAAAATAGTTGATTTGAACATTTAATTCCCTACCTGATTTACTTTTGTTCTTATTGACTGCCTTATTCTCACAGTTCAGCTATGTCCAGAAATGACCAAGAGCCGTTTTTTGTGAAGTTTTTAAAATCTTCAGACAATTCAGAATGTTTTTTTAAAGCTCTTGAGGTAAGAATAATGGATATGTCTTATTTGATATTGGAGCTCATTTTCATGTTTTAAATGTTTCTTGATTTGTTGGATTTTATGTCTTAGAAATAGATACTTTAATGGAATTTTGCCACAGCATGTGCTTGATACAGATAAATCACCGTTACATAATTTTTAGTTCAAGTAAGTAGACCATTATGTTTTTTGGGAGGATTGAAGTCTATCAGGACAATTGAATGTTGACCTGCAGTTCAATATTGCACACACATGTCTGTGTGTGTCTATGTGTCTGTGTGTGACTGAGCTATCTTCTCAGTCCTCTGACTTGGAGTTCTTGAAGTTTGGTCTAGTAACTCCTTTGATCCTTTGAGCACTGAAAAACTTCAAGTCACAGTGCAATAGTTTTGGTTCATTGCACACACACACAAACGTGTATGTGTGTGTGTGTATGTATATATATGTGTGTGTATATGTACATATATATATATATGTATATATATATATATATATGAATGATGGGGGTAGTTTTGAGCTTTGCCAATTGCAAACCCTAGTAATGTCTTTGTAGCTTGGGAATCTATTAGAAATGCAGAGCCCTGGGGCCCCAACTCACATTTGACAATTAATATATTCATTTTAAACAAAAACCCCAGTGCATGTTCAGTTTTGAGAAGTTAGCTGTTTTTTTTAAAGTTCACTCAGTTGGCAACCATCAATTGAGTATCCATCATCTGACAGGTTTTCCTCTAGCATAATACTTGGGGTACACTAATATCAGAACAAGCAAATACCTCTCCTCTTTCAGCATACATAGAACAGGAAATCATTATTAATCAGATGATAAGCAAGAAACTACATAGTATGGGGACTAGTGAAAGAGTTGAGACTGAGTCTTACTGTGTAGCCCAGGCTGATCTGGAACTGTCCTTCTGCCTCAGTCTCCTGCATGCTGAGATTACAGGTGTGTGCCACCACACCTAGTACGTATGTAATGTGTTGTAAGTTCTGTGGGAAAATGAAAAAGCAAAAGCCAAAACAATTTAAGGTTTTTTAGAGCATGTTTGTTGGAGGAGAAAGAAATGGAAAGGTTACAACTTAAAACTGAGTGTGGACCAGGCAGTGGTGGCACATGCCTTTAGTCCCAGCACTTGGGAGGCAGATGTAGGTGGATTTCTGAGTTCAAGGCCAGCCTGGTCTACAGAGTGAGTTCCAGGACAGCCAGGGCTACACAGAGAAACCCTGTCTCAAAAAAAACAAAAAACAAAAAACTGAGTGTGGTCAAGGTAGGCCTTATGGTGGAGATATTTAAATAAATGTGGGTGGGTATCTAGGTGAAGAAGGTTCAGTGAGAGGAGACATTAATATGCAGGGCTCTGGAAATGGTGTGTGCAAGCGAGTGTCTAATCAAGGTTAGTATGATAATGTACAGAATCAAAGATGGGTAAGCGTATTATGGAGTGCTAGAGAGGTCATTGTAGGTCCTTATGAGCCTTGTGAAGACTGACTTCCATTGAAGAGGATTTTAATCAGAAGACCATAAAGGTGGAGAGTTGCTTTTTAATCTCCACATATGTCCTGTATGTAGCTTGGGAGTCTATTAGAAATGCATGCACATATACACGATAATATAAAGACTTTCTCTTAAGTTTATGCACTAGTGTTCTTAATCCCCTCTTGTATGAATTGAGATGTTGAAGAAAGCAATTACTCATTCTAAAAGGATTACAAGAGAAATTCTGGACAGCTTTCTATACAACCTGGCTATTTTATTATTAGTTAATACCTGGAGTCCTCAGAAGACAGTAGAAAGTCTTACTCCACTTCAGTGATCCTCTTAGCAACTCTGACTTTTACCCAGAATTAACTGTTCCCAGGGCTTTGCATAAGGTAGTGGGTATTAGGATATGCTTATAAACAAAATACATCATGAAATGTTCATCCGTGTGGGTGTGAGTGGTATGCTGAATGTTTATGTGGGTGCTCATATCTTTACCTGATGAACCATCTAACAGACCCAAAACATTCCTTCTCACGGGGAAGAAATAAAACTATGTATATTTACAAAAGAAACAATTTTGTTTTCCTTCATAAAATGTATTCAAGTGGTAGAGGAAGTGCAGTTTAGAAAGCAGAATGACCATGGGAATGGTGCTTAGTGGTAGTTGTATAGTGTGCATAAAAACCTGGTTTTAGTTCTCAATGCTGCAAAACAAACCCACTATGGTCAAGAAAGGTATCTCTAGGAAGTGACATTTAAGCAGATTTTATTAATGTGAAGAATCACTTCAAATGAAAACTTCAGAGTATTCCCTGTAGTAGGACCAAAAAGCAGAACTGTTTAGTGAGGTCATTAGTTTCTTCCAGGTATAGGGTATAGGGATGACTGGAATTAGCCTGGAAGGGGATGTAAGAGATGAGACTTGGGAAATAAGTGAGGGCTGTTTTATGGTTTTGTAGACTTTCATATAAGAAATGAAGTTGTGGGTTGGAGAGATGGCTCAGCGGTTAAGAGCACTGGCTGCTCTTCCAGAGGCCCTGAGTTCAATTCCCAGCAACCACATGGTGGCTCACAACCATCTGTAATGGGATCTGATGCCCTCTTCTGGTGTGTCTGAAGACAGCTACAGTGTACTCATATAAATAAAAAATAAATGAATCTTTAAAAAGAAAAAAAGAAATGAAGATGTGGTGGTAATGCATCTTTAATCCCAGTACTTGGAAGGCAGATAGGTCTCTATGAAATTGAGGCCAGCCTGGACTAGAGTTGAGTTCCGGGACAGCCAAGGCTACACAGAGAAACCCGGTAGGGGAGGGGAGGGGGAGATTTGGGACTCATCCATGCATCCTTTCTTTTGTCCAGAGGTTCATAATACAACAGACATTCCTCAATTTCTTTCCATCTAATTTTTTTTAGATAAATTTCTTACTGTTGTAGAGCCCACTGATTTACTAGACTGGTTGGCCAGGGATCCCCTGGAATCTGGTCTTCAGCACCCCACCCCACAGTGTTGGGATTATGAGTACATGCCTTCCATACTAGCCTTATTACATGGGTGCTGGGATCCAAATTCAGATACCCATACTTACACTGCAAGCATTTTATCCACTGACCCCTCTTCTCAGCTCCTGGTTGGTTTCTTTAAAAGGTTTACTAACTTTGTGAAGAATAGATTTAAGAGAGGAGACCAGTTCAGAGGCTTCTGTAGTGGTCTAGGTGAGAAGCAGTGCTTTATTATTTAGTAAGGAAAGGGCTGGGTTTGAAATGGGCTCTTAGCACTTGGTAGGACTTAAATATAGGGAACTAATTTATATTACATTCTTACTTGTTTTTTTTCTTTCAGTCAATAAAGGAATTACAATCAGAAGATTATCTTCAGATCATTACAGATGAGGACGCATTGAAGATAAAAGAGAATGACAAATCGCTTTATATCTGTGACCGTTTCAGTGGCACTGTTTTTGATCACCTTAAACAGGTTTGCTGTTTCTAAGACACTTACTTGGTGATGGGTTTTGTGTACTCTCTCACACATGTGTGCATGTGTGTAGTGTCTCATTCTCATGAGTACTATGAATACCTTGGGATTCTTTGTATTTGTAGTTCCCAGACATCTGAGCTGCCTTATTGGCTGGTACTTTGTTTGAAAAGCATGCCTGAATGTTTCTCAGTTGTTATAGCATAAGATTATTGCATTAAGATTATACTTCTTAGGAAAGATGCCCTAGTGGTTAAGGGCATGTACTGCTTTTCAAGGGATCTGAATTTGATTCCCAGCACCCATGTCAGGTGGCTCATACTGCTTACAAGGCCAGCTACAGGGATCCAGTACCTCCAACCTCCAGGTTTACCTGTACAAAATGTGTATATACCTACATAAGGACATACATACATACATACATACATACATACATACATACATACAATTTAAAATAATAAAAATAAATCTTTAAAATGCATTTATTATTTTATGTTGTAAAGGTTTTTACCTGCATGTATTTTGATGCACCACTTGCACACCTCATGCCCTGGCGGGGCAAAAGAGGGCATTGGATCCCCTGGAATTGAAGTTACGGGTTGTCAGTTACAGACTAGGTGCTCGGAACCAAACCCAGGTCCTTTGTAAGGGTAACAAATGCTCTCAACCTTTTAAAGTATAATTTAAAAAAAAAAAATAAAGACTAAGTTTGTTTTAAGTGATTGAAATTTTGTAAGTGTTCCAAGTTTAATTTCGTGATCTTTTCCCAAATGTTTTTTCTAGCTTGGCTGCAGGATTGTTGGTCCTCAAGTAGTCACGTTTTGTATGAGCCACCAGCAGTGTGTCCCAAGAGCTGAGCATCCAGTCTACAATATGATTATGTCTGACATAACTATATCTTGTACAAGCCTGGACAAAGACAAAAGGGTAAGCACTGAAGGCAGCAGGGCTGGCTTGGCACCTGACCTTCCCTGGGGTTCACATCTAACAGACCTCACACATGGGCTTCAAGCTAGCAGACTTCATGCATGGCTACAGTGGTTTGTTGTTGTTGTTGTTTTGTTTTTTAAAGATTATAATATAATTACATCATTTCCTCATTCCTTTTCCTTCCTCCAAATCCTCTCATACACCACTCCTTGCTCTTTCAGATTTTTAAATGTATAATACCTTTTTTTCATCATTATATGCATATATGTATATACATATAACCTTAGATAAATACAGCTCACTTAGTCCGCATAATGTTACTTACATATGATCTTAGAACTGACCATTTGGTATTGGATAATCACTTGGTGTGGCCTTCCCTGGGGAAAGTGGAATATGATTTGTAGAAACACTGGTTAAGTGTTTTGATTTAAATGGAAAGTTACTTTTTTTTTCTACAATCAGTAAGCTTGGTTTTGAATCATTTAATTTTTCCAGAACAGAAAATCTTTAAAGAAAGGATTGTAATCTGGGTGTTACAGTGCATGTCTTTAATCTGCAACTCTTGAAAGGGAGATTAGTGAATTCCAGGTCAACTAGGGCTACGTATTAGTAAGACCTATCTCAAAAAAAAAAAAAAAGGAAAGGAAAAAAAAGAAAAACCAAAGTGGCTCACACCTTTAATCTCAGCACAGAAGAGACAGAGGCAAACGTATCTCTAAATTCAAGTTTGGCATGGTCTAAGAAGCGAGTTCCAGGATAGCTAAGGCTACACAGAGATATCCTGTCTCAAAAAAAAAAAAAAAATGTAATCAGAAGCAACATAAGTTTAAATTGTAGAATTCAAAAGAATAAGTTCAGTCATTTACTAATGATAATTCTATTTGAAAATGTTTCTGTAGGTGGCTATCACTGAGAGTGCTTAAACTTAAGAAGGCTATGATGTCATTAGCAGTATTAACCCACACATCCACAAGACCACATTGTTATAATTGGGGTTGATTAGAAAGTATTGTTAAAAAGTATGTGACTGTTGAAGAAAACAGTTATTCAGGTGTTTCGTTTGTTTTAGGAGAAGGCTGTGGATTGAGCCCAGAGGCTTGTGCATGGCAGGCAAGCCTCCTGCTGAGCTGCATCACCAGCCTACAAATAGTGGTTTTTAAGTTTAAAATTGATACACATCTTTCCAAAAGTAATTAATTACTTAATTTTTTAGTGGTAAAAACATTTGTATGTTCAGGCTAGCAATAGTAAATGATATTTATGGGGGGCTGGAGAGATGGCTCAGCGGTTAAGAGCACTTATTGCTCTTATAGAGGTCCTGGATTTGTTTCCCAGCACCTGCTAGATAGCTAGCTCACAACCATCTGAAACTCCAGTTTCAGGGGATCTATCTGATGCCCTCTTCTGATCTCCAAGGCATGCATGTGGTGTATAGACATAAACTCAGGCAAAACACTCATACATTTTTTAAAAAAAAAAATTATGGGATATTTTTTAAAAATAGAAGGGTTGTTTTCTCTAGCATTAACATATTTTCTTTTGGGTCTATAGGAAGAAGTCCATAAATATGTACAAATGATGGGTGGACGAGTATACAGAGACCTTAATGTATCAGTCACTCACCTTATTGCAGGAGAAGTTGGGAGCAAAAAATACTTAGTTGCTGCTAATCTGAAGAAACCTATTTTGCTTCCTTCTTGGATAAAAACACTTTGGGAGAAGTCACAAGAAAAGTAAGACACATTCATATGCTTTGTATATTTGAAAAAAAAAATGATGCATTGGATTAATTTTGACATTGTTGGGTTTTCACGGGGAAGCTTTATGATATCTCTTGATTTGTTTCTGAGAAACATTTCTCCAGTGACAGTGGGGAAGATGGGCCATAGATTCAGCAGTGCCTAGAGGGCAAATGCTTTGGTAATGAAATTCTTTTCTGCATCAAATACATCTAAATAATACAGTTTGGCATTTGTGTTGCACTATGTAATACTGTGCCCCAATATTAAGATGGAGAGTAAAGTAGCTACTTTGGCAGCTCTGTTCCCTCCTGGGTAGGGTGGAGGTACAGAGAGGAGTAGAGGTAAGATTAAATATGCATATATGCAAGCCATCAGCTGAGAGGTGATCATTCAGTGTAAAGCCAGCCTATTTTATGCACTGGGCTGGACACTAGATGTATGTAGCGATCAGAAAAGGACAACAGTTTCCCTTATGGAGTTTGGAGATACACTTATGTTTTCCTTAAAATTGGGTTTATAGTCATAAGTCCAGGTATCTGAATTATATCAGCATTCTATGGCATTTTTCTACACTTATTTCAACACTAATCAGCACGTACTCAGTATGTTCTCTAGTTAGTACCAGCTTGATGAAGTTAGCAGATCTGTTTATTTGTAGCAACAAATAAGATAACAGTGATATTGTTGGTGCTCTGCCAAAAATCATTACTTTTACTTACCAAGAATGATGGAAGAATGTATCTATTTTATACTAGACAACCAATGAACAATAGGTTTTTAAGTACAGATCCAGTCTTATAATTCTGCCAAATGCTTTCCATTTATTAGCAAGGACTTAAGAGTTAATAGTGTTTTTTTTTTAAGATAGTCTTCAGACTATTGCTGAAATACAAGTTAGTATAATCCTCAGTGTCAGTTTTCCTGTCTCAAAAATATTTATAAATCCCAAAGAATAAAAACTGAGCAGACAAGGAGAGCAGTGGGATCTGACAGGGTCTGAGTACTCATGCTCAATTGTCTCTTCTGTTTACCACTTATTTTTTCCAGAACAATAACCAAATACACTGATGTAAACATGGAAGACTTTAAGTGTCCTATTTTTCTTGGTTGCATCATCTGTGTGACTGGCTTAAATGGTATACACAGAAAGACAGTCCAGCAGCTCACGGCTCAGCACGGAGGCCAGTACATGGGGCAGTTGAAGATGAATGAGTGTACACACCTCATTGTGCAAGAACCAAAAGGTAAACTTCCTTAGATGTAGTTGAGTGTGTATGTCCTGTTTGAACACTGATTCTCAGTAGGCCACCTTGTGCTCTTGACATGTCATTGCCCTAGTTTATCTGGGTTTTTTACCTCTTAAATTCTTGCAAAGATAGTTTGGGTCACAGTCTAGAAAAAGTAAGGGACTGTCCTTGTGTTAGTCCAGAATATAGAAAAAATATAAAATATCAAAAGTTGCCCATGATGTTTCACCTCCTGACTTTTAGACCTTGACAGAAAAACAAAACCCTTCACAACAAGAAAACAGGTATGTATAGCTGAGTGGCATTTCTTTTTCATGACTAACTTCAGAAGCTTGAGTAAGGACTTAAGTGGGGCGAATTGGTTTGTATGACTTCATTAGGACTGGGGTCGGGGTGGGGTGGTAAGGATAGACTTCCCAAGTGTTAGGCCAGTGCTCCATCACTGAACCACATTTTCCAGCTAGTCTATGAACTAGAATTTCTGACTTCGAGATAAGTCAAAATATAAAAAGTACTATTACTATTGAAAAACTCTTTAAACATTATTACTGCTTTTGATTTTTCAAGAACTTTATTCTAGGGAATAGTTTTGCTAATACTCCCCAAATCTGTATAAACATAAGGAGAAGAGTCTTACTGGACTCTTAGTAACTCCTTTTGTGTTTGTACTGTTTTACTAAGATACCTCGATAAAAAGCATTTGAGGACAATTGTTAGTTACTTGATACTACTGAGGATAATTGTCATTTGCTCAGGAGATTGGTATAATGACTATGATAGGATGGCGGCTGTGCCTGTTCTCAGTGTAAAGGCGGGTGCGAGGGATTGAGCCTAGGCTTATGCTTCCCACTGAGCTATTCCCTAGTCTTTTTGTTGCTTTCTGTTGGAGACAGGATCTCGTCAAATTTACCATGCTGTCTTGAGATTTGTGATTTTCTGTCTTATAGGCTTAAGTAGCTGGATATGTTTGTACCACCAGTCCCTGCTCCATTGACTTTATGGAATACCAAAATAGAGCTGGGTGTCAAAGGAGGTGGAGGCAGGAAGAGCAAGAATTTAGGGCTACATGTCTCTGTCTAGTCAAAGATAGTATTTATTATATTACATACATTTATGGTGTCTGCAGTTGTATTATATGTTCTTATTAAACCACATTAATAATGTCGAGCATGACGGTGTCTTCAATCCCAGCACTTGGGAGGCATAGGCAGGCAGGTCTATGTGAGTACAAGTCCAACCTGGTCTACCCAGGCTAGCCAAGCCTACATAATGAGACACTATTTTTCCAAAGGGGGTTGGCTGGTAACTTGGCTCACTGGTTAAGAGCAGTGCTCTTTCAGAGGACCCTAGTTTAATTCCCAATATTCATATAGCAGCTCACAACTGTCTGTAGTTCCAGGGTATCCAACACCCTCTCTAACCTTCTCAGGCACCGGGCATTCAAGTAGTACAGACATACATGCAGACAAAACATCCAGACACATTAAATAAATAATAAACAACTAATTTTTAAAGGTAATGTAATTACTGGTAAGCTTTAAACATTACTTTTGTTTGGAGTTTTAAAAAATAATTTACTATGAACTAACATATATGATCTAAATATTTCTTATTTCTCGTGTAATGAACACAGGACAAAAATACGAATGTGCCAGGAGATGGAATGTGCACTGTGTGACCCTGCAATGGTTTCATGACAGTATTGAGAAAGGCTTTTGTCAGGATGAATCTATATACAAGGCTGAACCCAGAGCAGAAGTAAAGACAGTGCCTGATACTTCAACTCCCACTGCTCAGAGCAATGCCGCAGCTGAAAGTAAGTCTCTTTGAGATGAAAATAAGCAATTATTTGTTCACATGATAATTGATGCACTGGACTAGGGATGTAGCTTAGTGGGAAAGCTTTTGCCTTGCAGGCCCAGGAACTCAGTCTTAAACACCAAGAGTAAAGTGAAGGAGTTGAATAGTTAACAGGACCATTAAAATATAGTAGGGACTTTATTTTCTCCCTCTGCCTCTGGGTAGAACTAAATAACAAAATAGCCATGTGTAGAAAGCTTTCCAGAGCCGGGCGGTGGTGGCGCACGCCTTTAATCCCAGCACTCGGGAGGCAGAGGCAGGCGGATTTCTGAGTTCGAGGCCAGCCTGGTCTACAGAGTGAGTTCCAGGACAGCCCGGGCTATACAGAGAAACCCTGTCTCGAAAAACCAAAAAAAAAAAAAAGAAAGCTTTCCAGAACTTCTTTTGTATTCCTTTTAGAATGAATGATTGCTTTCTTTCACAACCTAATTCACACAAGAGGGGATTAAGAACACTAGTTGATGGCCTTAAAAGAAGTAGGGTTTTTTCCCCCCATTTGTTTGTTTGGTTAATTGGTTTTTCTTTTTTAAAGATGTATTTATTTATTTTATTATTATGAGTACACTGTAGCTGTCTTCAGACACACCAGAAGAGGGCATCCAATCTCTTTATGGATGGTTGTGAGCCACCATGTGGTTGCTGGGATTTGAACTCGGGACCTCTGGAAGAGCAGTCTGTGCTCTTAACCGCTGAGCCATCTCTCCAGCCCCGGTTAATTGGTTTTTCAATACAGGTTTCTCTGTGTAGCCCTAGCTGTCCTGAAACATCCTCTTGTAGATTGCCAAGCCTGGGTTGGCCCTGGTGGGGACAGAGTGACATGGTTCCTGCCCCTGGGGCAAGGCCCGGTGTGGGCCTCCACAGATGTTGATGGCTGCTGTAGGTGTAAGGCTTGTTTGTGTAATAATGTACATATCTTCTGGACCTACCAGCAGTGAGGACTCTTTCCTTCTGAGGAATCATCTTGTTAACGTTAATGACTCCATGATAATTAGAAACAGTAGAGTCCAGGAGAGAGTGTGTCTGTGTCTCTCAGCAAAATGGTGGACACTGGGACCTTCAGGACGACCCTTAAGGCTGTGGAAGAGAACTCTAAATACATGAGTTTGAAAATAGATAATTTTTCAACTATCCTAAAATACAAGGATGCAATATGAATTATGAGGGACCTTAAGAATCTGAAGGAACAGAGGTAGCTATACTGTGAGCTTGCTTGTCAAAGATACAAAGGCAGGCATATACAAATGAAGGCAGATTCCTGGGATTGGGCCCAGGTGTGGTTGAAATGGTAATTTACAGTCAGGGGTCCCACCCTGCTAGTTTAGCGTCTGTGAGTAAGAACGCCCGCAGATCTCTGAATTCTTTTGCAGTGTTAAAAGAAAATGTGTGCTTGCTGTTTCCTAAGAATCAAAGGTCTGGAGTCCTTGGAAGCGGATTCATAGGATAATCAAAAAGGAACCTGGAATAAAAAACTGGGCTTGTGGTCTGCAGAAACCTGTAGCAGTTTTTTTTCTTTTTTTTTAGAATTTTCTCTAGTGAGAGCTGAGCTGTCTAGAGATCTCTAGAGAACAAAAACATCTCTGCAACAATTTTTCTTAACGGGATTTCTGACTTGTTAGGAAGATACAATAATTTTTTTTTTTTTTTAGCAGCTCTTCTAACTGGTCAGAACCCATTAGCTATCTAGAGAGCTTTTAGAAGTTTTACTAGCAGAGAGAACTGTCTCAACCAGAGAGTTTCTAGACTAGTGAGAAAAAGCTGTCTAGAGCAAAGCAGAACACATGCACACGCACACACGCAGACTGAGAGATCGAGCAGTATGGAAAGTCACCTCAGCAGAACCTAGGCTGCCAGCTCGGACCCAAAATTGGACTTTGAGTTGTTCTTTTCTCTGCTCCCAGACACCCCTTCTCAGAGTCCCTCTCCATGCTGAGGCTGGTCCTAGGCAGTAGATCATCGGGCTGGCCTCAAATTGAGAGATTCAGTTGGTTCCGCTCCCGGAGCACTGGGATTAAAGGCGTGTGCCACTGTGCCCAGCCTGTATTTTCTCTGTTGGTTTGCTGTAATGATTATAAACTATTATTACATAAAAGCTCTGTCTGCATGAAGTCCTGAGCTTGATGACTACTGCTGCATTATAAAGCTGGGTGTGGTGGCACATCCCTGTAATACCAGCACTGGGAGTTGGAGATGGAGGGCTCAGGGTTCAAAGTCTTCTTTGTCTACAAAGAGTTCACAACCAACCTGGATTTGGTGAGACTCTGCCTCAGAAAACAAAACAGAAGAAAGGCCAGGTGTAGTGGTACATAACCTCAGTGCCAGTTCTGGGGGGCAGAGGTATGTAGAGCTCTGAATTCAATGTGATCCTGATCTGGGTAGAGCAGTGGTTCTCAGCCTTCCTAATGCTAGGACCCTTTAATACAGTTCCTCATGTTGTGGTGACTCCAACCATAAAGTTATTTTGTTGCTACTCTATAACTGTAATTTTGCTACTGTTATGAATTATAATATCCGTTTTCTGATGGTCTTAGGTGACCTCTGTGAAAAGGTCGTTTGACCCTCAAAGGACCTTGATCCACAGATTGAGAACTACTGATACAGACCATAGAGAGACTCTGCTTCAAGAAAATAACCAAACCAAAAATCTTATTGTATAGCAGCTAAAATGCTTTGACATGCAAACCCAACAGCCTGAAGCCCCAGAATCCATGGAATGGTGGAAGGAGAGAAACAACTGCATAGTCTTGTTCTTTGACCTCCATGGGTGTTCTGAGACAGCCATGCCCTTACATCCACATGCCACACACACAACAGGAGTACGTACTAAGGACTCGCTTTGTGAAGGTCATTCTGCTGTGTCAGCTAGGCTAACATTCAGTCAATACTGATCTCTTTTATTTTGGAAGTGCCATTTAGCAAAATCCTCCTTCTTGGACCTTAAAGCCAGCAACTGTATGTTTTTATGGGCTATAAGCCACTTTAAAGGAATATTAAATATAATTTCACCTTAAGAATGAAACTTTATTTTTTCAGTAAAAACCTGAATCTTTGTAGGTTTACCCCTTAACCCCTTTATAGGAAAAGTTAATTTATAAAGAAGCATGGAATGACTCTTTCACCTCAGGAATTTATCATTTCCTTTTACGTTTGTAGGTCACATGCTCGCAAATGTCAGCCATATATCCAACATAAATGGCAGCTGTGTAAATGAAACAATGTTTGGGACAACTACTAGCAAACTTGAGTGTACACTTGAAAACCTAGAAAATCTGGACATCAGTGTCTTTCAGGCTCCTGAAGATTTATTAGATGGCTGTCGGGTATGTCGTCTTTCTTATAATGTAACAAACTCAGAGGGGTGAAGAAGAATCTTCAGACCTGAGTTTAGGGCTAGTTTGGACTGCACAGAGAGGTCCAGACACCCACACACCCTCAGCCTGACTCCAAGACCCCTCATAGCAGGACTTGCTCCTTATGTGCATAAACAAACCCTGCACTAAGTTAAGCTACCACGCACCATACTCACGCTGTGCTTGTGAGTCTTCCTGAGCTAGAGCTTCATCTGTTCTACTTCTGATGTCTCAGTTTTGCTCTGAAATCTTAACCACTTACCTTAAAAATATTCATATCTATCATTTGTTGTTTACAATACATTAATGCCAGTAATCATTTTGTGTTGCATTATGTTATTGAAAATATAACTTTTTTTTCAAAGATTTATTTATTTATTATATATGAATACACTATAGCTGTCTTCAGACACACCAGAAGAGGGCATCAGATCTCATTACAGATGGTTGTGAGTCACCATGTGGTTGCTGGGATTTGAGCTCAGGACCTCTGGAAGTGCAGTCAGTGCTCTTAACCACTGAGCCATCTCTCCAGCCCTTGAAAATATAACTTAATTTCCACGAATAAAGTAGTTATTATCTTGAAGAAAATACTTAAAAGATTAAAATCCGTTTTTAGGGCAGTGTGGCTAAAGTGCTTGTTGCTAAGCCTGACAACCTGGGACCATAAGGTAGGAGGAGAGAGCCGAGTCCCTCATTCTGTCCTCTGGCCTCCATATATGTATTATGACACATGTACATGTGCGCACACGTATGCACACACAAACACAACACACTGAAAATCTTTGAACAAGTTGTGCACCATCGTTTAGAAGATGTTGAAGTCTGTCCTATAATTCATCTGCGGCCTCAGCCCTCCTTTAGGTTTCTACTAAGAGATGCCAGTGCTGTGGGGCTGTACAGATGTTTAAAATACCAGTTTTAGGCTGAAGAGATGGATGAGTGGGTCAGGCCTTGCTGTGAGAACATGGGGGCTGGAATTTGATCCCCAGCATCTATGTAAAAGCTGTGAGCGATGGCGTCCAGCACTGGGGGATGGAAGGGAGCTAGCTGCCAGAATGTGTGTACACATTAGATTTAGAATAGATTTCGCTCCGTGTGTATCTCAAAATGTATATGAAGTGTCTTATTTATACACAGTGGATACAGTTTTCTTTTAAATTTGTTTCTGTTGAGAGAAAAAAAGCTTCTTAAGTATGTTAATCCAAAGCAAATTTTTCTTTGCAGATCTATCTTTGTGGTTTCAGTGGCAGAAAGCTCGATAAGCTGAGAAGGCTTATTGACAGTGGAGGTGGAGTTCGGTTTAATCAACTAAATGAAGATGTAACTCATGTCATTGTGGGAGATTATGAGGATGATGTGAGGCAGTTTTGGAGCAAATCATCCCACAGGTCCTGTCAGTTTTAAATTCAGAGCACTTTGTACTGGGATGGGTTGGGTTGGGTTTTCTTGTCTGTGTAGCTGTGGGGATGCATGGCAAGTGGAATCACGCTCTTCCTCACCTACGCTGGAGCCTAATGTTGGAGTGCTCTTTTTGTAGGCCTCATGTCGTGGGAGCAAGGTGGTTGCTAGAGTGTTTTAGTAAAGGATATATACTTCCTGAAGAGTCGTATATCCACACTAACTACCAGCCAGCTGCAATTCCAGTTTCAGAGCAGCCCAGAAACCAGACGGCTGTCTTAGAAAAGAGCGGCACGTTCTCTAAGAAAGAATTTGTTCCTAAAGAGAAGCTTCATCAAGCTGATGAGGAGCTGCTTGCCCAGTATGTAAATGATGACTCCACAGTAGGTAAGAATAGTTGATTGGCATTTATCATTAAGAAGCAACATATAGCAGGGCGGTGGTGGCCCACACCTTTAATCCCAGCACTTGGGAGGCAGAGGCAGGCGGACTCTGAGTTCGAGGCTAGCCTGGTCTACAGAGTGAGTTCCAGGACAGCCAGGGCTACACAGAGAAACCCTGTCTCAAAAAACCAAAAACAAAACAAAAAAAAAGAAGCAATATATAAGTTCATGGTATCTACCACATTTTTATAAACTTTTTTATTTCCCAAAAGTTTATGATTTGTAGCTTTCTAGCCAAGCAAGGCCACCAGGCTCCAAATCACTGACTCATGCTCTCAGCAACTCTGTGCTTGAGTATGAACTTTGTTTGTTTATTAATTGTTTGTTTGTGTGTGTGTGTGTGTGCACACGCACGTGCTCTGGTGTCTGAGGTCAGAGGTGAGACCCTCATGGAGCTAGAGTTACAGACATTTGTGTCTAACGTGGGTTCTGGGAATAGAACTTGGGTCCGTTTGTAAAAGCTGTACATACTCTTAACCACTGAGCCATCTCTCTGGCACCTATGTGTGAATTGTAAGAGCATAAACTTGTAACAATGGCTCTCTGACTGGGCTGTGGGAAGTCTTTTCTGTATGCAGTACTGTTCTTGGTACTGCTGTCTCAGCATATAGTTTCATCAGTGTAGTAAGGTAAGTTACCAACAGAGAGTTAGAACTAACCTTTCTTCTTTTTAGAGGGTATTGTGAAATATTTGATATATCAAAAGATAGAATTCTGTGGTGAATAATCACGTATTGACTATTTATGAAAGTAGAACATTACCCCATATCAAGAGCATCCTGTGAAGTCCTTCCTGTTTTGTTTTGGTTTTTTTCTAGTTTGTGTCATGTGTAGATGTGTTTATAGGTGAGTCTTTGAACTTTATATCTAGGTTGTGTACTTGTTTCTTTATTGCAGTGCTGAGGCGTGACGCAGGCATGGGCTCTATCACTGAGCTGTTACCCTCTTTTTATTTTTAGTTTTAAGGCTTAGTCTGATCTTGGACTTCCTCCATAATAAGGCAGGTAGATTTTGAACTTGAATCTTCTTGCCTTAGCCTTCTGGGTTTTTTAGGCCTCTTTCACTAGGTCTGCCTCTGATTAGTTCAACTTACATAAAGTATACATACTTTGTAGTTGTAAGCTCACAGTTTTCAGTCTTTATTGAATTATAGTTGTTTAATTTGGGGAAACAAATTTTTATTATTTTTCTAATTTTACTCAGCAATACACATTTTAGTTTCGGTGCTTGTGAAGTTGAGAGAGGCAGAATGAGCTTGAGGCCAGCCTGAGCTACATAACAGGCTCCAGACTGGCCAGTCAGGACTAGAGAGACCCTGTCACAAAAACTAAAAACAAAACAAAACCAAAAAACCCGGTGTGTTTACTAGACTGTAATTTTCAGGAAATTTGGTTTTCTGCACTAGTTTCATACTTACATTCAACATAACAGTTCTCTGATTAAAGATGGTGATACTTAACATTTGGGATAAACCTGAAGGTGGGATGAATACAGTCTTCCTTTCACTGAATACCTAAACCTAAGTCTTATAAGTATTAAAATTATCAGACTCTTACATTCTTGTCTTTGCTAGGAAATCACTATGTAGCTTTGCTTGGTTTGGATATTGCTGTGTAAAACAATTTGGCCTCGAACTCACAAAGACCCACCTGCTTCTGTTTCCCAAGTATTGGGATTAAACCTGTGCATCACCACACCCTCTGGAAATAAACTCTTTTTTTCTTTTTATTATTCACTGTAGATCTCAATATCCACTCCCTTCCTCCCAGTCCCCTCCATAGCATCCATCCCCATTTCCCCCTCCCCCTCTTCTCTAAAATGGAGGAGTGTGTCCCCCTCCTCTCCCGTATCACCCCACCATGACACATGAAATCTCTGCAGGACTTGGTGCACCTTCTCCCACTGAGGCCGGAAAGGCGGCCCAGCTAGGGGGATGGGATCCACAGACAAGGCAACAGATTCAGGGACAGCCCTGACTCCAGCTGTTACAGACTTGCATGAAGATCACATTGCACATCTGCTACATGTGTTTGGGGAAGCCTAGGTCCAGCCCATGTTAGCTTTTTGGCTGGTGGGAAATAAACTCTTAAGTCTAGTAATTGTCAAATAGAAAACTTGCCTTTTTCTTTTCCAGTTGAAGCTAAGCTATCTGAAGCTATAGAGCCTGAAGCTGAGCCTTGCAGTGGTTCTATTCACATTGAGCCCTGTGATGATTCCACTCACATTTCTGTGCAAGAGGAAAACAAGTCGTCGGTCAGTCATTGTCTCCTTGACGGCTCTACAGTTCCTGAGGAAGGCTTATTTAGCCAAAAGAGTTTCCTTGTTTTGGGTTTTAGTATTGAAAACGAATGTAATATCGTAAACATCATAAGAGAGCATGCTGGCAAGATTGTGTCCCTTCCCAGCAGAATCGTTGCTGACTATGCTGTGGTTCCACTGCTGGGATGTGAGGTGGAAGCGACTGTGGGAGATGTTGTTACAAACACGTGGCTGGTAAGAAACATCCCAGTGTTGAAGGAAGCAGTGTTGGCTGCCACCATCTTTGTTTATTCTTGAAGCTGTTTGGTTTATCGAAATTGGCATTTGGTTTGGGCAAAGGCAATTCAAAAATGTAGGAATGGGAGACCAGCAAGATGGCCCAGTGGATAAAGGCACTAGCTGTGGGAGCCTGACCACCTTTTGAGCCCTAGAACCCATGGTAGAAGAGAGAACTCCCAGAAGTCCTCTGACCTCTATGCAGACACTTTCTCTCCCTCTCTTTTTCCCTTTGCTGTGTGCCTTCTCACATGCACCATGTATACTTTCTCATGTGTGTATTTTCATGCACATACAATAATCATAATTTTTTAAAAATTTAAGATCTTCAGCTTCTTGATGTCAGTCCTGTAACTAGCTTCGGGTGATTTGACACTTCTAGTCTGTGTAGGCACTACATTCACCTCACATGCACAAACCCACGCTGTCACGTATTAAAGCTATATCTTTTAAAGAACTTAAAGTCTGTACTTCTTGATCCTAACACTGACATCCAGAAGTTGCTATCACAGGGCTATGGCACCAGTATTCATTAAAGTAATTTCCAATTGCTAAAATAATCCATCTTACTGATTTAATATGCAAGTGTGAAGAATTGGTATTCTGTATGCTTCTTCGAATATCATTTGGAATGTGCCAAGAATGAGCATATTCAAGTCTATGTAAAATTTCTTTTTCTTTAACTAAAATTGCTACTATTATAACTTGAGCTTTTCTTAACCACTTGTTTCTTATAGTAGCTTTATTGCTTTTGTCTTCAAAGGTTATGTGTATAGACAACCAGACATTAATTGATCCCAAGTCAAATCCCCTCTTCACACCAGTCTCAGTAATGTCGGGAATGACTCCTTTAGAGGACTGTGTGATTTCCTTCAGTCAGTGTGTGGGAGCAGAAAGAGATTCCTTGGTATTCTTAGCAAATCACCTTGGAGCAAGGTATGTGATGTTTTCAGTATATCTGCTGCACATGAGCACACACACAGAGAGCATTAAGCCAAGGGCCTTGTACACACTAATCAAGGGCTCTACTATGGCATCCTTAACCACATCATGTTTTATTTGTTTTGACTTACTGGAAAGTATGTAATTACATTTGACTAGGATTGTGTTTGTATGTGTGATTGATGGGGAAGTACTGAGTCGTACACAATTAGATGGATATCTGGCAAACTTGCAAGGCTGTGGGCAGGCATTGGTTTTTTCCCATTGGCCTAATCACCAAGAAAGGTGGTGATATGTGGGCTGTTACTGAATTGTGCTTCTCTAAGCACTGTGCCTTTCTGTACCTCCCCTTCTTCCTTTTCTCCCTCTTCCTCTTCTCTCCTCCTCCTTTCTTTTTCTTCTTTTAAATGTATATCCATTGCTTCTCTTTTTAACCGGGAATGCAGATGGAGCACTTTGCAAGGAATGCAGAGAACATTTCGGAGATAAAGAAATTAAAAGTTACCTGTAAAATCCTTCAGTAGCTCAGCCTCCTTTAATTGATCATTTCAGAGTAGCATTTGAAAAAGAGTAGAAATCAGCTGTATCAAAACATTTCAGCTAGCCAACTTCATAGTTAATAGGAAATATTTTTCGATTAAGAGCATAAAGAGCATAATTGCTTTCAAGCAACAGACTCAAAACAGGGGAAACGATGTCAGCTAAGGCAGAGATGAATTCAGATAAAAGCTGTGATCTTGCTGCTGTTACAGATTGTAATGTAAATAATTTTTGGAGCTAGAGGTTTGCCAAGTGATCTGGGCAGTTGTAAAGGAGTAGCTTAGTTTAAGGCAGTCTGTACTGGGACTGGAGATGGCTTGGTGGTTAGTGTATGTGCTACTCTCCGAGAAGAATCTAGTTCTAAGGGATCTAGTGTCCTTCTGGACCCCACAGGCATGTGTGCACACATGTGCATGCACACACATAAAAACAAAACAAAAAAAGTTGGGCAGTGGTGGAGCACGCTTTAATCCCAGCACTTGGGAGGCAGAGGCAGGTGGATTTCTGAGTTCGAGGCCTGCCTGGTCTACAGAGTGAGTTCCAGGACAGCCAGGGCTACACAGAGAAACCTTGTCTTGAAATTCCCCCAGCACCCCCCCCCAAAAAAAAAAAACCTAAACTATCACCTGTTAATAAGTGTGTTTTCCTTTTTCAGTTTCTCTCTCTCTCTCTCCCCTACCCCCTCTCTCTTTCTCTTTCTCTCTCTCTCTGGTGGGGGTGGTGTGACAACAGGGTTTCTCTGTGTAGCCCTGGCTGTTTTAGAACTCTCTCTGTAGACCAGTTTGACTTTGATCCAACTCAGAGGTCTGCTCACTTTTGCCTCTGGAATTCTGGGATCAAAGGCGTGCATTGCTACTACCCAGAGTATGTTTTTGTGACAGTAACATGCTATTATTTTTTTAAAATGGGCTAATTGTGTGTGATCATTTGCTTTATTTCCATGTAAATTTTAGTGTTCAAGAATTCTTTGTTCGCAAATCCAGTGCAAAGAAAGGCATGCTCGCCAGTACGCATCTTATAGTGAAAGAACCGACTGGTTCTAAATATGAAGCTGCAAAGAAATGGAATTTGCCGGCAGTTAATATTTCATGGCTCTTAGAAACTGCTAGAATGGGAAAGAGAGCAAATGAAAACCATTTTCTGGTTGACAGTGCACCTAAACAAGGTTAGAACTCTTTGTTTTTATGTATCTTACAACTTGATGGTTTCTGAAATATGAATGTTCCAGGACTTGCTTTGAAGCATTCATTTATTTTGCTGTTTATGGTGGGTTCTGTGAGTCTTTGTTGGGTGTTTGTCAGTGGTGGTATCTCATCACAGATGCTTAGTGTGTACTCTAACCATGATTTATTTGGGCGGGTCAGTACTCCCTGAAAGTTAGTAAAGTACACTGGCTTAGTTACTTTTCTGTTTGCTATGATAGACACCATGACCAAAAGCAGCTCGGGGAGAAAAGCATTTATTTCATTTTACAACTTGTAGTCTGTCATCCAGGGAAGTCCAGGAACCAATGCAGAGACCACAGAGGAATACTGCTTTCTGGCTTATTATTCCTCAGGGCTTGCTCAGCTTGCTTTCTTATACCTTCCATGGACCATGTGCCCAGAGATGGACTGCCCACAGTGAACTGGGCCCACCCAAATAAATCATCAACAAGAAAACACCACAGGCCAATCTGGTGGGCATATTCTCAGTTAAGGTTCCTTCTTTCCAATGACTCTAGCCTGTGGCTTGTTGACATAAAACCAGCCAGCGCAGCTATTTTCCTTTGTCTTGAGTTTGAATGTCCCTTCTCTGGGATAGATGACTTCTTTGACTTATCAGTTACGACCTTGTCTTATCTTCACACTCTTCTCTTTTAGGCAGTATTCTTCTTGCTTAGAGAGACTGGTTTGCTTTCTTGTCTCTGCCAAACTATAAGCTATACAGGCAAGGACTGTGTAAGTCCTGTGAATTCTTTACTTTTACTGTCTGGCAATGGGCTTGGGATGAAGTAGTCAAAAGTGTTTTCTTTAATGTTGAATAAAAGTAGAGAAGGCAGAGATGGAGGATACAAGTAGCCTCTGAATGGTAATGTTTCTGGCGGACTTCAAAGGCCAGTCATCATCTTGGGAGCACCTGAGAGCTGTTATCTGCTACCTAGGTAGACTAGACATGCTCTATTGCCTCGACAGTGAGCTTGAGTGGTAGGAATACCTCTCTAGGCTTTCCAGAACTTTGGCTACACTTAATTCTAAGTACATGGTTTTTTAATTTTCTTCTTACTGTGTCTTGACTGGGTCAGTACACTTTTGTGAATGAGCTTGTAATTATTTGTTTCAGTTAATGTGTGTCTGATTCAATATATACATTCATGCACACATGTGCACACATATCTGTATGTGTGAGTGTATTTATTTGTGTATGTGATGTATGAGTGTGCATGTCTGTGTGACCAGAGGTCAACATCATGTGTTTTCTCTGTCATGCTCCATCTTGTTTTTAGAGACAGGGTCTCTCAGTAAACTTGGAACTCACTGATTAAGTGCACTCCAGGGATGCCTGCCTCCACCACTGCACCCAACAAAGTAAGCACTGTACTCACTCAGCCACTCCTCCATTCCTCAGTGTAGATTTTAATGTACGTTCTGGAATCAGCCCGGCACTTATGAGACTGAGGCAGGATAGTCACTTACAGGTGTGTCCAGCCTATGGCCTGTGGGATGCATTCATACAAAGATGGCTTCGACTACAGCCCAACACAAAATCATAAATTAACTTTTGTTTTTTTTTGTTTTGTTTTTTTTTTTTAAACCATGATTGCAGGGTTTTCTTTGTAGAAGACAGTATTATGTTGCAATGTCAGTCAACAGGGTCTGTGTATCTGCAAGGGTCTGTGAGACCTGTCTCAGAACATAAGTTTATCTGGTTTGCTTCTTGGAAAGTAGGCATATATCTTTATGGTTTAAAGTTTACCGAGACAATATGTAAAACCTAACAAAATACTAAATTGTCCCTTTGCCTCATATGAGAGAAAAAGCTCATATTAGTGGCTCATTTGTTTCTTTTCATTTTCAATCTGTAGAACAAGTCTTAGAACCTAAGATACCAAATGGAGTGAATGTGAATCCAGATTCTCCAGCACAGCCAGACGCCGCACACTTGGGGTTTCATAGAGGAAAGACTGTTACACCCTTGGACATGAGCCGTTTTCAGAGCAAAGCTTTCCGTGCTGTCATCTCCCAGCACAATAGGCAGGACTCAGCCTGTCCACCAGTAGGACAGCCACTGAAGAAGGAACCCTCCTTACACCTGGACACACCATCAAAGTTTCTGTCCAAGGACAAGCTTTTCAAGCCATCCTTTGATGTGACGGTAAGACTTGAGGAAAATGTTCCTAGTGCTAATAATGGTTTTACGGTTTATAAAGGTAGAGCTCCAAACTGTGCATTGCTACTAAAGTTTGGAATAGAAAGTTATCCAAAGGAGGCAGAGGCAGGCGGATTTCTGAGTTCGAGGCCAGCCTGGTCTACAGAGTGAATTCCAGGACAGCCAGGGCTACACAGAGAAACCCTGTCTCGAAAAAACAAAAAAAAAAAAAAACAAAAAAAAGAAAGAAAGAAAAGAAAAAGAAATAGTCTGATGTAATGGTTTTGTAAGCTTTAAAATAGCAATGTGTTGCTACCTTTTCTGGATGACTAGTGTGCCTTGGGCTTGCTGAAAGCCCTAGTGTCACCTTACCTTTCCAGTCACTCCTCTTAAAGGAGATGAGTGGTGTTTCTCTGTATGATCTGAGCAGTGGGGTCTGATCACCTTAGAAAATTTATCCACAAGTCAAAGGCTATTTCAAATAGTCTTTCAGATCCTCAAGGCTTTTTTTCCCCGCCTTTTTTTTGGGGGAGGGAGTTTTCAGCCTTCCGAGTAGCTGTAAGTCATTGCCTGGGATTCCTGTATCCTTGAGCCCATTTATCTTTTGATAGTTTACTTATAGAGTATTAAGAAATGACATTGAGCCGGGCAGTGGTGGTGCACGCCTTTAATCCCAGCACTTGGGAGGCAGAGGCAGGTTGATTTCTGAGTTCGAGGCCAGTCTGGTCTACAGAGTGAATTCCAGGACAGCCTGGGCTATAAAGAGAAACCCTGTCTCGAAAAACCAAAAAAAAAAGAAAAGAAAAGGAATGACATTGACGCTGGGCCTAGTAGAATTTCCTAGAATCTCAGTAATGTGGAGGCCAAGGTGGAGGGAGGAGCTTAAGTTCAAGACCTGCCTCAAACAAAAAGGACTTTTGGATTTTGTTTGCTTAGGTTTTGTTTGTTTGTTTGTTTGTTTGTTTTTGTTTTTGTTTTTCTGAGATAGCATTTCTCTGTCCTGAAACTCGCCCTGTAGAACAGGCTGGCCTTGAACTCAGAGATCTGCCTGCCACTGCTTCCCTAGTGCTGGGATTAAAGGCGTGTGCCACCACTGCCCAGCAATTCTTTGGTTTTGTTTTTTGTTGTTGTTGTTGTTGTTTGTTTTGTTTTTTAAAAAAAAGGGTTGTGGAGGTCTCCAATAGAATTGTGGCCTGGGAGATATGAGAAGAACATGGGTTCAATCCACAAGAAATCCAAGTCCATTGTAGGCATTTTCTTACTACTGTGTAGGGACAGATTATTTCAAAAATAAATATTGATACCTAGTACCATTTTATTCTAGGCTAATGTATATCCTTAATGTTACTAATTCTGGTGTCTCTTATGAGAATCAGAAGGGCTCCTTTAGTATTCTACAATAGCAGAGTCCTACAGTTTTACATAAAATCCCTTCCTGTGATTAGTGTTCTACCCTGTGAGACTTAAGCAGAGGAAAGGTCTTGGTGCTGTGACTTCTGGAGTCAGGATGACCCTTCTTCTTACTGACTTGTGACACACGGGAACTCCCTTGAGCTTCAGCATTCTTGTTGTAGCATCATGTTAAGTGATGAGTGGGTCCCAACAACTTGTTAGGTTGCACAGTTCATAGACCCCTTACGTAATAAACAAAGAAAAGGGGATGCACTGCTAAATGAAACAAGGTGCCAGCAATTGGGCAGCCACTGCCTGTGCTCGGATAGTCCTCGTTCTGTGTGCCCTTCCTTCTGCTGCTGCTGCTTGTTACTTCTGCTTCTCCTCACAACTTGTCAGAGTTGTGTTGTGCATAGGCAGTGTTAAAAGTCTTTTTGCGTCTATTTTGTTGGGTTTGTTTGGCCTTTGCTGTGGAGATTTGCCCGTGTTCTATATAACTGTAGCTAATCATTTAGCATAAGATGGTATTTTTTCCCCCTAAAGTGTAGTGTTTGATATATATCTAATAAGGTTATATGAAAGCTGTAATTTCTGATTACCTAAATCTTTTAATATCTTTTGCTAATATGCATTTACCTATCCTGTATATTAAATGATGTTTGTAAGTTTCTTGTATTGGTAATTCTTGTTTTGGATTTTGGTTTTTGAGACAGGGTTTCTCTGTGTAGCCCTCACTATAAAGCAGGTTGGTCTTGAACTCTGGGATCTACCTGTGTCTACCTCCCAAGTGCTGGGATTAAAGGCTTGTCCCACCATGCCCAGCATTTTTCTTCTGAAATCTCACATGGTTTTTGTTTTTAGTAAGTAGTTGCTTTGTTAGTCAGCACACTGATGTGCATGACTTTGCATTAGTTAGAATGTAAAACGGGGCTTTTGATATTATAAAAGTCCTGTTTTGTTTAGTGGTTTTTGGCTTGAGGGCTGTCTGCTCTGGTTCTAGGATTTCAGTCTGCTGTCTTTATCTCAGTTCTGTCATATATTATTTTGTAATTAGCTTATACTTGCTTTATATACCTTTAAATTATGTGTTTGTTTGGTGTTCTTTTTTCTCTTCTTTTTCTTTTTTCCTTTTTGTTTGTAGTATAGAATCCCTACTTCATTTTTGAGACAAAGTCTAGTATGTAACGAAAACTGGCCTTGGATTCAGAGCTCTGCCTGCCTCTGCCCGTTAACTACTGGTTAAAGGCATGGACCACTGTGCCTGCCTGCCTTTATTTCTTACTCACTCACTCTTTCTTTCTTTCTTTCTTTCTTTCTTTCTTTCTTTCTTTCTTTCT